AATTTAAATCATCATCTTAGCTTTCCAATAATTATAACATGTGCCATCAAAAAAGTAAGGACGATTTGTAGAATGTCCCTCAAGATTTTGAATATTAGGGTAAGCAATTACTCAAGATTGTACCAAGTGATAATCTAAGAATAGCTAACCAAGAGGAAGCGAATTGGTTTTTAAAATTTTTTCAAAAATAAATCCAAATTTAAACAAATTTGGTAGCAAATAAATCAATAAATGTAGACAAATATGGAAGTAATAAGTAAAGAGGATGTAAACGATATAGTTATAGAGGTTCGATCTAAAGCAATGATCTACGACTCCTGTTACCAAGCTCTTCAGCACATGTAAGGTATTTTCACTATATTGATTGACTTATGGTGCAATCAAACCATTTACAATGACTTACAACCAAGAAACATAGATCTTTTTACAATATAGAGCTTTATGGCCCTCTATATGACCCACAAATTCAAGGAATAATGAGTTTACAATTTGAATTTCTCTCTTAATAAAAGATATAATCAAAATTAAGCAACAAGAGAGAAGTAGGCTAACACTTTAATCAATAGCAATGAATGAAGCTCTAGTGTTAAGTATAAAAACTTTGATGAGAAGAATGATTTCTATATTTTAATTCAATCAAATGTTTTTCACAATAAATAATTTGATTTGATGAAGATAAACAATGAGCGTAATAGTTTTGCTCAAAAGTATCTCACTTTAATGCTTTTGAAAGTCTATCTTGAATGCAAAGCGAGATGGTATTTATAATAGTAAAAATGCCAAAAGTTTTGTCTAACCTGACAACTAAACCGAACGTTCACTTCAGAACTGGACATTGAACTAGTCATTGTGCATCAAAATTTTAAAATAACTCGACCATTGGACGAACCGGATGTCTAGTTGGCCAACCGGACATCCACTTGGCCAACAGGACGTCTACTTGGGCATTGTTTTCTCAAATTTTTCTTTCTTTAATTGTTTTGAAAAATGTAGACTTTTGAAGGACGTTTTCACTTAATTTTTCAAGGTAAGTGACATTTGTTAAGAGATTTAAAAATGTCAAATTGAAGTTCTTACCTTTTGAAACAATAATTTTTAAAATTATCTTGAGCTTTTGATGATTCATTGCTAAATATAAAAGCATTTTACCTTGCATATGAATTCAAAATTTCTAAGTCAGATATCTTTGATGTTTAACATTGAAGTGCTCGTCTTGATAGATTTGGCGTCCATGCTCGGCTTCCATCTCGATTTTCATTGGGTTGTCAATTTGAGAGTCTTTTGATAGCGACCTTTTTGTCTTCAATTGATCAACTTTGACACAGTAGTTGTAAGGACTCGAATTCAATTGTTAGAGATTAAAGCAATTTCTTTGTTATAATCAAAATGTAGAAGTAACTATAGGTCAACAATAAGATGAAGAGCACAAGTAAAAGTTTAAGAAAATTTTCCTAACGATGATTCTCTTTCTGTAACTCATCTGAAAACACCAAAAAAAAATAAATTAATAAAATAAAATAAAATAAATAAATAATAATAATAATATTGAAACCCAATCCATTATCAAAATTCTCTCTTATGTTTGAATATGGGGAAAAGCAAGTAAAGATATTTAGTGTAAAAGAAAGCCCCTATTATCGATCTAGACATCTACCTATTAAATGTGTTCAAACTTTAGAAGCCGAAGGTTTTCATTCGAATTTAAACGAAGGACTAAGATTAAGTTGTGCATCTTAAACACATGTAAAGACACGTGACCTCTTAAAATGTGTAGCCTTAGCCATCATTGTCACTCATTTCCTAGGGTTACATATGCCTTGGAAAAATGTGTTACCTCAGCTATCATCACTCGAAACAAGTAGCAGTAATTGTCATCCGTCCCAATCAATGTCATTTCAAATTAGACTCAGAGGCCTTTCACCTTCTAAGTATCCAAAATTCACAAGTATGACACCTCGACTGCTATGCTTCGCACATGAGTAGAGTCCTCATCCCTACAAAATGGGACTCTGCCTTTGTAGTCATGCTTCCCCTATGCTAAGAGGCTTCGTCCCTACTAAACGGATTTTACCTCTGCAGCTATGCTTCACTTATGTTAAAAGGCTTTGTCCTTACAAAATGGGACTTCACTGCAGTACTCATTACCACAGTACATAGTCCTCATCAACAATCAAAGTCCATGTCTTATATAAATATCCATGCCTATACTCGAGAGACTACTCTTACACAGCATCACTTCTCCTTAGTTCCTCCTCAGAATGAGAATCACCAAATAGTCCACCACTTCTTCATTTTGCCATCTACAGTGAAATACGAGGATTACTACTTCATTACCTCTCCAATTATATCTGTCACTCTTGGAACTGTTATTCACAACCCATCTCGCCAAGTGGGACGCCACTTTACCTCAAAGCATCACCTCCAAAGCAAAGTGCCACATTTCGCAACAATAGACCACATGAAGTGACTAGCCTCTATCTGACTAGGTACATCTTGCAACATCACTTTTGCTAAGATATCATTCATACAAGGATACTCTGTACATTTAACAGATTGACAGTATTGTAGCAGATTCATTCAATCAACTTTTAGCTTACTTTTCGAATTGTATACCTATGACATAGGGTGGCCACTTTTCAACCCATTTAAGATGGTCGTAGGCCTAAGACACCTAGGATTGATACATGTTGAGCTTGACCCCGTGCGTTGCAAGATGAGACAATGTGTCAAGCATCAAATGGACACCACCAACTTGGATCCTACTTATTTTCAAAGTTGGTACTCCCTCCAACTTGGATCCTACTTATTTTCATCCATTGTCTCTTTCCGCACCCAACACCAATCATTGACTTACTTGAGTGTTGGGAGTGTTCGCAGTCGCCTCTCATCACTGGAGATACGACCACATGAACTTAGAACTTTGTCCAGGTGTGAAGATAATATAAGTGCGGAAGGATGTGGAGTCTAGATCTATTGAACCCTTGTCCTGCTGAATTTCCAGGTTAACATTTACTTGGCACATTCTTTTTTCAACAAATCAAAAGCCGATTCTTTTAAAATCACAGCAACACAAAATCAAGCCTACATGATCACGAAATTAAGAACAGTCCCGCTAGCAAAAAAAATAAAAGTTGAAGTGCCAAAGGGTGTCAAAATTAGAGACAGATGTTACAATTTTTTCGAAGTCAAATGCATTCTTTTCCTCCCTACTCGCCGTTATCGAATAAGTGTTGAAAATACTGCAATTTAGAATATCTTTTTTCTACATTTTCTAGTGAATCTTTACAACAATCTTTCTGTCAGACGCCATTGAGCCTTGTGGTAAGAAGGTACAACAGCTGGGTTTGGTCCACTTCGATTAAAAGTGGTAAGACAGGAAAAAAAAATAAAAAATAAAAAGCCAAGCAAGGCCATATTTATTTTTTTCCTCATTATACTCAAGTTCCATCAGAATAGGATAGATTGGATTTGGCCCCCCAGGGCACATCCAAGTTGGCGGAACAATCACATTGGGGGGCTCTGGAACCAAGTGTGGGGAGTTCGATTCCTAGTTGGAGCAGCCAAGTGATGTAATAACCAGAGGAAGAGTTGGAGCAGCTTGGTGATGTAATAACCATGGAGGAGGGTCCCTTTGGAGAAGGAGTAAAAAGCCATGTGGGAACCTGGGAACCAACAAGGGCACAACCTGCGATTTACCTCCACTAGTCACTGAGGGGCCGGGGGCTAGAGATCCAGGATTTAGTCCGGCTAAGCTGGGACACCTGGATTATCAAAAAAAAAAAAAAAAAAAAGGATAGATTGGATTTGAAAAAATAAAAATAAAGATATGGGTGTGACCAATCCTCAAGTACTGTTTAATCATAGCCCTTGTGTGAGCCCCATTATTTGATAAAAATGAAATAATAATATTTTTTTGAAGAATGTACCATTAAAAAGTATGAAAAAGTTTTTAGATTTATGGTTAAAATTATTTTATTAAAAAATATGTATTCTTTCTTGAGTTTGAAGAAAAATGCGGCTCAAACAAGAGCTTAATACTACATAAACATAGTTTTATGATCCTATGCACTAACATGACAGTAGAGATCATATACTGTTCTACTAGAAGTGGTATTCTTGAAAAGTTGCTATCTCGGCACCGTGGATGGCATGTAAGGATGGGTGACTCGGGATCAACTTGTCCCGAATTAGCTGTCCCTAATATATTTTTAACGTCTCTACACATCCTATTTTCTAAGCTAATGATAATAAACCAAGATATAACATTGTAAAGAATTTAAATATTTGTTCATCCTTCGGAACCCTATCACACCCCGAATCTAATGAAATAGGATGAATTGAGACAGTATGTAATTATCTTGAATATATTAACTATTTCTTTATTTTCCGATCGCCTAGAAGGTATTGCTATTCTACTTATTTTTATTTCGATTCTATTTAGTTAGTATAACTATAACTTTTACTTTTATACAAATTCTCTGGTTTTCACCTAGGATTCAATACTGATTAGATCCGAGCTTTTTTATTGAATTGCTCATTCAATAAAAAAGCTCATTCAATGAGCATTCTCAATATTATACCATGAAGAGGACTTGAACCCCAGACCTTCGAAAAAAACATGGGCAAAAAAGAAAAAGGGTTCAAATGGTACGATCTCTCCATCAAGTCATCAACCCAAAATGTAAGGGATGATCTCATAGTTTTTGACATGTGAAAATGCATTGTTAGTTACTCCATTTTCTTTTTCCATTGAGGTCGAACGGAACGCTATTGGATCAAATGACAAATACATAGTTGAGAAAAAGATGGCCTTTCTCGGATGAAATGAAAATTGGATTCATGTAATAGAATAAATGGACCTACGAGGAGAAGGCTAAATCTTGAGACTGGTCGATGGAAATCCTGCTATGTACTGGTACAATGCTTTCCACATTATTAATGGGGGCCTCAGCATCATCCTCATCATTACACATTTCACAGATAAGGCAAGACACACTCTATAAACTTCCAAGTAAAGCATTTATTGTTATCTCGAATCTCTAACAATTACAATAATAATACAGCAAGCTGCTAAGAACACCACCACAAGACTCGACTCGACCGAACATAACAAAACAGTAGTTATAACAGCCTAGAGTTTCGATTCTTCAAACTATGATTTGGATACAAATAAGCAGATTTAATTCTACTGAAGAAAATACATGATGCTGCACTACCCAGTGCACAGAAGCAACTACTTGGACCAAATGATACATAGATGTTCTGGTAAATAACTCCTCTTTCAGTACCTCCAGAGTTGTGAAAGGAATATGATGAAGAGACGTTAAGATCTCAGGAGAATACGAATCAAACAGCATTAAATTGTTACAACTTGCATGGGAAAAAGTCTTCCAACAATTCATCACGTGGATGCCTAGAAGAACAAGATTGAATGCCAATATGATAGTCGAGGCTTCTAATGGGTTCTAAAACTTAATAAGTAAAACAACACACCCCGTGAAGGAAGAGTTAATCATCGATCCATTTCAAAGACAATAGAACGTTCTCTTCTAAGAATGTCACAAAATATGCACGAACCTTGGTGCATCAGGTCTCGGCCTATCAAGGGAGCGATAAAGGTACATTGTATCAACATATTCGTTTGTTTCATTCTCTTCCTCACCCGAAGCAATCACTTCTACTACCAAACCAGGTAATTGGCGTGCAACCTCCTCGCAGCCTTGACGGGTTACTTTACAAGATGACAACCACATGAATCTCATGTCGTAATAATGATGCAAACCAGCAAACAAAGCTGAATCTCCAAAGGGACAATCCCTGATCTCAAGCTTCTGCAACTTAGGGCAGCCCTCCAGTAAATACTTGAGACCCAAGTCACTGTCTCCAGCAAAAGCAACTGACAAGGTTCGCAGTAGTTTTCCGTACTGTCCAATGTATTTGAAAACTCTATCAGTCAATAGACCAGATACAGCAAGTCGGGTAAGCTTCTTACAGTTCTTAACAATGGCTCCAAAGCCTTCATCCATTGGCTCACCAGTGACGTGGTCAGGCCTATGTCGTCCCATTATACATAGACGGAACACCACAAGATCTGGGCAATTCTTTGACATGGCAATAACTGCGGCATTGGTCATTCTCTGACAAAAGTATAAAATAGACTGCAATTTCCTACAACCCTCAGAAATTGTAAGCAGACCAACTTCAGACACAGGGCCCTCAACATCTTCTAAAGCCTCAACCGGGAAAACCCGAAGCTCTCTTAGGTCTTTGCATGCTACAGAAACTGCCTGAAGTCCTTCATCACCAATTGAATCAAGTGCCTACAGCAAATAAATAAAAGCTCTAAATACATAATTCAACAACAAAGTTACACAATCTCTTCCTTTACTAGAATGCATTAATCGCTTACCCAAAATGTCTGGAGCTTATGGCACTGACGAATTACTGGTTTCAATTGCTCTGCACTGATGTTTGCATAGCTCAGATTAAGGGATGTGAGGATACCACAGACTGGATATATCGCAGATAGATATTCTGGAATAATTTCCTTGAACCCAGAGAGACAAATCAGTGATTTGCAAGCAGCAAATGCAGAAAAGTAATCTGGTTCCTGTTCACTCTGAGCAACAATCTCTGAAGTATTAAAGGAACCTGTTCCCAGATGGGTGAGCTGTGGAGCGCGAATCATCAAGCGGTAAAGCTGCCTTATGGAGATGTAGCTATTTAACCTAAGTTTCTTCAAGGAAGGTGACCTTGCCACCAGCCGCTCTAATGCCTCAAAGTTAATAGGGGTCTCCACACAGTCAAAAATCAAAGACTCGAGACAGGTTACGTTATCAGGAAAACATGAAATCCAATCCACTTCATCATCTGTAACGTCGGTGTCCACCAGTTCAAGCACCCTAATATGCCTGAGACAAACAAAACCCATCATGCTTGGGAAATATAAAAATGCCTTAATCCCGAATTTTACTTCATTCAACCTCAAGTCATTTTTCATTCAAAGACAGTTACCGTAAAATTTGAACACACACGCACATACCCTTGAATTCCCCATATCATTACATTACTTTCTCATAACAATTAATGCAAAACAACGGATTTAACCAGACATAATAGGCTACCAGAACAGATATCAAATACGAATAAGATGACAAAATTAAATCTTTCCACTTTGAGAAACAAACCCCATTTTGTGAGGTCAATCCACCAATATAATCATCTTCAAGTAAAAAATACAAAAGCTCATCAAAGTTATTCCCCCTAAGAACCAGATCTGAACCCAACCCCAACAAGAAAGAATATATTATATCGTCGGCTAACCTGCACTCACGGGCTATAATAGCAAGTCCATCAGTTCCAAAACCTTCACAACAAACGAAAACGAGCTCTTTCAAAAACGGGAAAGAGTGAGCTGTAATAGCCAGATCCTCATCTGTAACACACATACGCTTTAAGTACACCTTCTCAAGCGCACGGTAAGAAGCCGCCATAGCCCTCAACCAGTTAGCGAAGTGCGCACCCCAGTCCGGGGGCAACAAGCTGAAGTCCGAGAATCTGGGTTTCCCTTTGATTGCAATCGCTTTGATTTGCTTGAATCGGTTCGTGACTCGGCCAGGTGACACCGAGTAGCAGTTTCCGATGAACAGCTCGGATCTAGTGAGGGCCTCCGCACGAAACCACGATTTGCACACAAGGGACGCAGCGTTGCGGTCATGCCGTGAGGTCAAGAAGTACAGAACGTTCTCGAGGACGTTTTCCAGAACTTGATCTGGGCTTGGCGACACATAGTTCTGATCTCCTCCTCCACCGCTGACGGCCGTTGAGTTGATACTGCGGGCAGCGCCACCATCTAGATCCGGCAGTTCTTCGTCCTCCGACATTTCGGAACGACTGTCACTCCCACTCGTGTGATTGAGTAGCTTAAGATTTATTTTAAAACCCCCCAATTACTGGAAATTCTAGTATGGATTATGGGTTTTCTTATTTTTGGATTTTTAATTTATTTTGTGTATTTATTCGCCGCTGGCGGAGGAGAGAGGGTTAGATATTGGGTATGGTACACCTGCAACATTATTTCTCTTTCTGTATGTATGTATCTGTCCATCTCTATCAATTATGAGAGAGAGACTGCGGGTGGGCTGAAACGGATATAAAAAATGCTCCTTGTACATTATGATACACGTAATTTTTTATAAATTGATGAGTTGTCAAAATTAAAGCAAGAAAGTTTTAAGTTAATTGTTCCAATTGGTCAACGAATTTAGATCTATATTTTTAATTCATCACTAAAATTTAAAATATCAAATTTTGATTATTAAACTTAGATTCACATTTTCGATTGCTTACTGAAATTTAAAATATCGAATTCTGGTCAATGAATATTAAAAAATATTGTACATTATTCATTTTAAACTTGATAATTTTTAAAATTCAACATTTATACTACTGAGTAACGCACGATATTTTCAGAAGGTAGTGATGAAAAGGTAGCATCTTTGGAAGCAACATTTTCTTCCCTCCCTTAGCCACCACCACCAATTAAGAAGAGGGGAATATCTCACATGAATTTCCCTTTTTTCCAAATTCATAAATGGCACAAGGAAAAGGCAGAATCTTTGGAAGCTATAAATTAGAGTGAAACCAAGGTAGAGGTGAAAGTGTAGCCGGTGAAGTAAGCGACAGAGGTGTTGGTGATGCATCTGGTGAGGGCGATGGAGCTACAAAGTGGAACGGACGAGACGAAAGAATGAGACTATTTTAGAAAAAGAATTTTGGATATGGTGATTTTGAAGACTCCTTCCTAATAAATTTTTTCCTCAAAAAATTCCATACTTCACCACAAAATATTCTTATAACAAAATTTCACACAATAAAACTCCTAAAAATTTCCTATCTTTACTATTGTGTAATATCGGATGCCAAGTGGTCATTCTTTCCACATGCAATGAAAACCCCCGGGTGAAAGGGAAAAAGATGAGGAAAACGACAAAAACAAGAAGGGATTTTTCCCTAGTTTTTGTTGCCGCTATCAATCTAGACTCTAGAGGGAAAATTTTTTATTGAAGTCAAATTTGTTTTACATAATAAAGTTTCAAAATTAGTACAGGTAATTAAGAAAGGGAATCCTTTTTTCTAATATTTTAATAATTTATTTGGGACTTATTGGCACATTTAAAAAAAAATTAAGAGTATGATTGCAATTAGTCTTTTATTTTATTTTTCATTTTATTTAAATAGGAACATATAGTCGTCATTTTTGAAATTTCAATTGAGAAATTGGATAGAAATGGATGAAAATGATGATTTTCACAATGAAATATGAAAAAAAAAGGTGAAAATGCAAAAAAAAAAAAAAGAGAGAGAGACGTAAGGACATTTTACACGATGAACTCTAAATGTAGAGACATTTTGTACTAATAATTCTTAAATAAAATTATTTATTCATCACCTATTTCAATTCGAAATATGTTATATATACATTGTTTTTTATATTAACTTTGATATCCTTCTATGTGTCATCCATCACAGCTTTTGATTTTCTAAATACTTTTCACATCACTGACCAGACTTCAATACATAGGGGGAATATCATCCTTAGTGTAAACAACAATGTAGATTTAGAATAATTCTTTCAATTTTATCCATTCACCTAGGCAAAAAAGTCCAAATGGCGGATGGAAATCTTACACGATCACTGATAATGTTGAAAATTGACAGATGAAAAACTCATTCCAGTGATAACCTTCTCTCTTAACTAAATGGAACAATCGATTATTATTCTAAATCAAACCCAATCAATTTCTCCCCCAATTCATTTTCCATCCTAATTATTTTTCCTCTATATAAACTAGCTTTAGAGAGCTCCATAATTTTTACCCCATGGAAAAATTTGTGTCACTGTGGTCAGAGGGATCCCACAAAGAGTTAATGGATGGAGAACTACGGTTGGCCACATGCTTGCAACTATTTTTTCTTGGATCGACCCACTTGTTCATCCATGTTACAAGACTATAATAAATGATCTAATCCACTTGTCGAGCGATATGCAATAGAGGAAGCATACGATGAGCGGATCGATGAAGCTATATCACGTGGGATTGGGCTTACTACTGATTTGCAACATCATCTGCCTTTTTGTGTTTAATGGGTTCCGCTATGGATCCAAGTGAAGTCTATTTCATAAATTTATACAAGATTTTGTTTCCTGTGCTCATATAGCTGACTGTTCACTAAGGCTACGGGTTATAGTCGACGTCGATTCAGCAATTTGAACGTCTCAATTCAAAACCGAACATGAAACTTTGAGAAATTATTTCAATCTCTTTAGGTTAATTTCAAGAGATGGCGGGAGATTATAAAAGAAGTACACACCTACGATAAATTGTCAAGCTTGGTCTTCAGATTTATTTTGCATTGAAGGATACCAAAAGAAGGTGCCAACAATAAACATGGATTAACAAGCGGAACCCAGCCAAATTAAGCCACGTAGAAGGTAATTGAGGCCTCTGTTCTATGGTAAATTCCACCCTCAAAATCTGCATCATTATCTAACCTTGAACATGGTATTCTTATGATTCTGCAGTAGCTGGGATAGCAAGAAAGTTTTATCAGATTGGAGTTAACTACCAAGCTCTCCAATAAGCAGATTCATTGCTGTCATAAAAATGGGAACGGCCATGACACTACTAGATGAATTCTCTATGAAATTACATGCACACTACGTTGGTTCAAGAAAGGTACAGGGAAGGGATTGAAATAATTTTCCCGTGGGAGTACATATGCTTTTCTGCACCTATGAAATAATATCTAACAAGGTTGCCTGATTTCTACCATTCCACTAATCATCAGTTGCAGAATATTCATTTGACAAGTGAAATTTGAAAGACCATGTATGGGCTGAAAATGACAAAAGAAATCAACACCAAGAAGATTTTTGATGTTATGCATTCACCAAGTACACAAAACATTTTATTTCATGCACACCAAAAGCAGTAAGGGGGATATAGATAATGCAATATCATTATCACATTGTCATTAAGAAATCCATAATGCATGCTAATTGGTTCTCTGCTGTGAATTTGCTTAACTGGAATTCATCAGCCATAAAAACCAGCAGCTTTTTCATTAGTAACAAATCAATCACAGTCAACCATACACCAAAAATTCCAGTTCACTCAACTATACGCCAATATATAAAATTTCATTCAACCATACACTAAGCATAATTTGAATCAATTCTACATCAAGAACATAATTTTAGTCAGACGTACTGAAAAACATTAAACCAATTTGTAGTTCTTAGCTTCATAACCCAAATGATAACTATGAAAAACTAATGTAGTACTGAGTTACTAAATTTTTCCTTACTATTGGTGGGACAACCCTTCTGTTTTTTGTTATGGCTTCCCTCTTCTTTGCTTTTTCGTGTCTCGATTTCTCGCAAGTCTTCTCTCAATGTTTTGGAGAGAAGCTTTCTCTGCTCTTGAAATGTCTGGCTTACTTTATGGAGGACCATAGTTGGTAAATTGTGCAACTCTAGTTAAACCAATTCCAGGTGTTGGCATGAACAGAAAATTAGATAGTGGTTCCTCGATGGCCTCCTTAGCTTGAGTTTGGCCTGTGATTAGGGTTAGTACATCAGATATAACATAAAAATTTTATTTAACCAATTTTACTAATTGTAGGTTATTGCTATAGATTTAATTTTCCCTTGCGTTTTCACTCTCAAAGTGACTTGAACTTCCTTGATTTGTAAGATCTTCGGCCCCACAAGACCATTCCTATAATGAGCATATAAACAAAGTACATTAGACCATATATTCTATTGAAAATTAGATAACACATTACATAGACCATATATAAACAAACCTCGTGTGGTCCATCTGCCTTTTGGTGTTACATCTTGTTGTCGCATGTTCCTTCATAGGCACTACAACTGATCACCATGGTTTCCCTCTTATTCAACTTTGCTTTGGACCCATAATGGGTTATGACATCTTCTTCTTCCCGGCTTCGTCTCGTTTCTATTTTCTTTCCCTTTTAGGCACATACGATTCTGGTGGTTTGACCTTTGGAAAGTATCTACTTGAGGCCCTAATTTCGTCCCATTGACAAGGTTTATAATATTATCATAACAGTTCATATATGAACTCACTTTACAACACTCGTGCAAGTACTTCCCAAGGATCACCCATTCTGTCTATAGTAGTAGCAAGTGCATGAGCAAAAGGAATCCCTGGCAAATCCCATATCTATTATGATTAATATAAAAGTCCATTCATTGATATTCACAATCTTCATCTAATTGTTGTATAAACCACCTCCAAGTAATATCATTCTCTATCTCCACTATAGCATATGCTAATAGGTAAATACAATTATTAGCATCTCATGCTATTGCCACAAGCATTTGCCATCCAAATGTCCCTTTCAAAGATTCCCATCCAACCACAAAAATGCCTGCGACCCGCTAAAAATCTTATCTTGCAAAATTTTAAATAGATGTAAACACCTTGAAACTATAAATTATGCATAGCAACAATGCATGTAGACCCATGATTGATTTTCAAAATTTAAGTTGCAAAAGACCTAAGCAATCTGAATTGGTGCTCATCAAATCCCTATATCATTACATTCACATATTTTTATAGCCCTTCATGCTTAATTATCAATTTCATAACGTCCTTTACAATCTTTATAATGAGCTTAGACTTCCAATCATGGTCAACTTTGAAGGTATTTAAATACCTCGCTACTATGTATTTGGTTGGCACTGCACTATGTATTTGTTTTGTACCAAATACATGTATGCTCTGAGTTTGTAGATTTTATATGCACACACCTTATCTTCTTATTCCATGAAGCCCAAATCCTCAATGTCCAGCCTAATTGACAGATAGTTTAGATTTTCATCTCATAATTTGGCTTGAATCTAAAATTGTATTTAGATGGTATGTCGTGGTTCCTAATAGTTTAACGAACTCCTTAGTATATTTAATCTATTTTATTTTACTATCTCTAACTACGGATTGAACTTCTTCTTCTAGAAATCATAAACAAAGAAATGATAAGTGTTTTCCTCACTTGAAGAATAGTCAGTGTGTGATAAGTGTATTT